TGTGTGTGTGTGTGTGTGTGTGTGTGTGTGTGTGTGTGTGTGTGTGTGAGAGTGTGCGTGTGTAAGAGAGAGAGAGAGAGAGAGATCTGGAAGACTGCCATTTCCAAGTCATGTCAAGTCAGTGCATCTGCTTTGCTACACTGTCAGGGATATATCTACAGATGGGGAATTTGCTGGTTCATTTGCCCGGTAGCAATTTTTGTGAGCAAGTGCTGCTGAACACACTCACGCAAATGATGCCAGTGAATGCATGCGTGTGCATGTGTGTGGTTTCTTTCTACGTGTTCTTTTCATAATTGTGTGTGTTGCATGTTTAGAGTGTATGTTTTCCTTAACGCAGAGTTTACTTATTCCCACTGGAGGAAGCTGTCTCTTTCTGGGTTGCTGCATTGGAGGAGCAATAACTCATTTTTTAATGCATGTTAAAATAATGTGTGTGTGTGTGTGTGTGTGTGCAGGGCTTGGTACACATAAGAGCTTACGTATGTGATGATGTGAGGTGAGTCACAGCTGAAGGTGGATGTTGAACTGTGCATAAAGCCAAGATACCTTCAGGCAAAACCGGATGCATTCAGGATCAGAGGAACGTTGCATTTTAAAAACTGGTGTGGTGCATAAGGAGGAACTCTGGCCTAAACTTATCTCAGTTTGCTTCATGTTCTGCAAAGCATCTCTTTCTTAAGCTTTCACAGGTGCTGCCTGTGCCGTTTCATACTTGTTTCTTTGTTTACATGCACCCATGTTTGCACATTTTTGCTTTGTTACAATGGGATTCTTCTGTTTGGTGGCCAGCAGTGTAAGTAGACATACTTATTGAGGAAGTAGCTGTGATAGAGCCCTTCCTAATATCCATCCGCCTCCTGCTTGGATGAAAGTAAACTAATGTCTGTGGACTCTTTTCTGCTGATCTTTATTGCTGCCCCCTTCTCTCTTCTTTGCTCAGCTATTGTTCTCCTCCCATTGCCCCTGTCCTCTCTGTATTTCATCTTTGTGAAACCCCCACTCGTCTCCACTTTGAGGGATTATATAATAAGACATATCTTCCTCTCACTCAACATTTATTCACAAAATATATTTTGTTAGAGTATTACATTTTTTAAAAAGTAGAGTTTTTTTTGTGGTTTAAGAGTAAATATCACAAGGAAATAAATGTGCCAAGTCATATACTGTATATATATATACAGCAGTGAAATCCCAGAAGCTTCAATGTCAGTCAGTTCCCATCTCAAGTGATACCCCGAGGACTTTAATGTTTTGTTATTTTCTCTTCATTGTACTGTTACTGTACTTAAGCCATTCTCAGATATTTACAGTTGGTGTGGAATGAAAAATGACCAATGCTATTTTGCTTTTATTCTTGTGCTTGCGCCTCCAAACAGAGCTGCTTGCACCTACATGGACAGAATGATGCAGCTCGGGTTGTATTTAAACAGATCAGGTGGTTGTGCAGTTACCATTTCATTATGAATTTGTCCAGTTTCTACCTGCTAAGCTATGTATTCAATCAAAACTCAAAACTAGATAAAACAATATCATATTCTATGTCATGTAAGTGGGATATTAACAAGGAGAAAACAAAGACAGTTGCTTTTCTCTCTGCATGTGTAGTAAATATGACTATGACTAACACTTTAAACTTAAAAAAACAAACAAATCGCACACAAATATATACGGAGACATATATTTTCCGATGACACTGTAGTTTTAGCCTGAGTGCACAGCTATCATTATGTTCTAAAATAGGTTTTTGTGCACCATTAAGCAGAGAAAGCACAGTGAAAGGGTTTGCTTAGTTTCCAAAACATAGATTTATCTTAAAAACCTGCCCTTGGAGACATATTTAGAGTGCTGTATCTATATTTAGAAATATGCATTTTTGTGCTTTAGGACTTCACTAAGTTTTTTTTATCCTCCGGAGAAGCTAAAATCCTCCCATTATGGACACTGTCTGCTGTTGAGGATGCAATTAGGTATTATTGAGACCCCACATCTAATTAATACGTTATACTTCCCGCTAACGCTGTAATATCATTTCTCAGGACCTACTGGCCCATGTCATAACAGTTGTAGTATAGGAAGAGTTAGCTTAATTAGGAAGAGTTAGAAAGCTGGTTTGGACTTTGAGAGAAAGTAAACTAGTTTGTCTGCTAATTTAAAATAGCAGCAGTGCTAAAGTTTTATTCAACCCTGCAAAGTGCGATGGAAAGTGAGACTATCGTACTGTATCTCAATGTGGATCTGTCCATCATAACTAAACCCAAATCACTTCTTGACTGAATCAGAGACTTGAGGAATCTGTGTGAATCAATTTTCTTCTTTAAATTCAACAAAAACCACTTAGTATTGCTAACTTGCTTATGTGCTGAGATTTTATATGAACCACATGTAACGATGTTTAAGAACACAGGCTACACGAGTCTTAGCAGTATGTGTTGTTCACAAAACAGTATGTCCTGTTGGGTCCACTCTAAACCATATTTACATTTAGACTGACCCAACACACATGGCAAATTGAAACCTGAAGTGAGGCAGACTAGAAAGTCTGGTTATACGTATATTGTAGGCTTTAAAAGATTCTGTAGTCTGCTTCAAATGTATGAAGAGGAGGGTACTCTAAAAAATACAAACCATTCTGGATGAAGAGTCACTGCTCTATTGTGGATGTCCCCGGTTTGTATCTTATATCCTTTCTAAAATGTTATGTTTTAGAAGACTGTGAGGTCTTTCCTGTTTATTCACAATCATTAAAGGACTAGGCCCAGACGGCAATCATGATTGGATGATAAGTTAACTATATGATGCCTGGAAAATTGATTGGATTTATTAGAAATGATTAGTTCCGAGGCAAACACACAGTTAAGTTACCTCTGCTGCACTCTGTCGAGACAGCTACGTCTTCCATTTTGAAAAGCAATCATCTGTTCCAAGTCATAATTTACCCAGACGGTGTGTGTTACATCACCTGAGATCCCTCCTTAGTCGTGCATGTGGCCTCTAACACAATTGCTGCTGTGCACCTCTGCCCTCAGATAACTTCTACGGCACACCGAAACCTCCAGCGGAGCCATCCCCCGCAGCACCTCCTCTGAATGTAAGTGAGGCCCTGCTGCCCGGAGCCCGGCCCAGCGCCCAGGGCAAGAGGAAGAGGAACCAGTCAGTCAGCAACATGGAGCAGCGTGCCAGCCTGGAGCCGCCCGAGGAGGAGGAAGAGGAGAGCCCGGTTGTTAACGGCAATGGGGTGGCCATCACACCAGGTACTGTGGGATTCAAACACAGTCCGTTTCCCAAGTGTCGAGACCGTGGTGACATTTAAAAATATCATATTAAGGTGACGGGAAATGGAAGGCCTGAACTCCCCTGGGTTATTGATTGCTGTCTCACTGGTGTGATTGAGTAAAACCATAGAAACAAGTCAGTTGTCATAACAATTGTTACCTTTCCTTTTTATTTCTTCTTTATTAATGAACTGCACAGGTTCTCAATAACCTTCTATATCAGAATGCACAAGGGCACCTTTATGTCTCCACTATCATCTCTGTCCACAGTCTCATTTGGCCTTCAGCTCTCGTCTCTCTGTCCTCCCATTTCTCCTGCTGTCTTTGCTCTCCCGCTATTGACCTTTGTCCTTGTTTCTATTAATAATCCGACTCTCCCCTCTCTCTTCCTATCCTCTACCATCCTTTTCCTTCTGACCTCTCTTGCTTTTCTTCGTGTCTGTAGTCCTGTCCCCTCTGTCCTCTCCTCTTCCTTCTCCTTCCCCAGCCCTCTTTGTAGTCTGTCAGTTTGTTGTAGCGTGTCATATTTCTTCCACTAGCGTCTGTCTGTAATTTAATGCTGATACCACATGAAAGACTTGCGTCAAGAATGGGAAAATGGGAAGAAAAAAGACTTATCTGCCTGCCTGTTTTGAACGGTGTCTACACAAAATTAGTTCCTCACTTCACCTGTAAAAACAAGACTAGGTTGAAGCCTAGTACATGTCTTGACCCTATATCATCAATGAGCTAAATTGAAGCCAATTTTTTTACAGGGAAAGTCAGCGGTCGTGTCTGCTATGTGAATTCTTGGATATTAAATGTTCATCTGCAATTTTCTTTAGTGGTCCAAGTAATGTTTGTTCTTAAAGCGTACTTCGATATACATTCAACAACAAAATCATGCTATTTGCAACAATTTATTGTTCTGGATTACACATCTAAAGTGTTTTTGTCCTATTTCAGTCACATGCTAATACACAGTGGACAGACATTGGTTTCCATTGTTAAACAGACCAGACTTAGGTTGCATCACATAACAGTTATTAACGTATGCACAACCTCAAATGTTGATCTTGTCAATTCTTTACTGTGCATTTATGACAATTTGACAACTTTACTACTAATGTCTTCTCTGCTCCGATCGCCAACACCTGTTTGATCTGAGCGCATCCGCCATCTCTCTCTCTCTCTCTCTCTCTCTCTCTCCACACACACACTACACAGTATTCCTAAAACAGCTACACTAGTCTTATAACATATGGATCAAACCACTGTCACTCCTATTCATTTTGAAAGAGCAACGACCAATGGGGAAACTCCAACACTCAATTAACTGGGGTAACTCAGTCAGTGACAGACTTTCACATTTATAGGGATGGCCCCTGCTTTGCTGCGGTCAAGCCAAAAACGAACTATAGAACCGGCTCTGGTGAAAAGCTCAGTGTGACTTGGGGACCATTTTTAGTAGGCATGGATAAAGATATGGACCCTAAGCCCCAATAATGACTGTGAAAGAACATTGACTTTCTTCTCTTATTTGTTCTGAAAGAATTGTGATGTCATAGGCAAATTTGTTAATAATTTGACCTCTGTATGATGGCTTGTTTCTTGTCATTTTTCTGTTCCTGTTGCACTTGTATTAAAAATCCCAGTAGGAATATTATAGGATTATGTAGTTTGGTACTATCGTATGCTCCCTATCCGCTGACTTAGATGCCACCAGCTTTTCTCGTCACTCTAAAACCTTTCCTTGTGTATCTGACACAGTCTCTGACCCCTGAAGTTTCTGTCTGTCCCTTTTTCTCAATTTCTGACATCCCCACGTTGTTTTCTCCTCATGCTCATTGTCCTCAGACCACATCTCTCTCTCTCTCTCTCTCTCTCTCTCTCTCTCTCTCTCTCTCTCTCTCTCTCTCTCCTGGGGGTTCTTAGCTCTGCAGTGGCTTGGCTCTGACTCATGCGTGTGTAGTGTGTACTGCATGTGTGCACAGAGCATGTGAGCATAACTGTGTGTGTGTGTGTGTGTGTGTGTGTGTGTGTGTGTGTGTGTGCGCGTGTGTGTGTGTGTGTGATTTGCTCCACAGAGTCCAGTGAACATGAGGACAAGAGCACAGATGCCTCTGGGGAAGTTGCTGTAGAAACGTCCAGCCAGGCCCCAGCCTCTGTCGAGCCCCCCACCGAAGAAGAGGAGGAGGCCCCAAAATCTCCCTCTAAATCCCCCGCCAAAGTTCCAGACTTAGATGAGGAAGAGCTCGGTCCTCTGCCTGACAACTGGGAGATGGCCTACACCGAGAAGGGGGAGGTCTACTTCATAGAGTAATAAGAAAATATCCTACCTAAATACATTTAGACATTTAAATGATGGTATCCCACACCCTATTGGCCTATTGTCACCAAACCAGCATTTTGAGTGACCGATATCCAATCAGTATCAGTATTGTTGCATCTCTATCACAACGTGCACCTACTTGCTATACGTAAGGCCGGCTCTGTGTTGAATAATTGATGTAACGTAATGCTATTAATCAGACATACTGGATATACACGCACACACACACACACAGCCATACAAACTTTTGCCCTTTTTTCTCACCCTTACTAATTTGTGGCTGAGGGCTAGTTAGTAGATTCATTGCCATTCATTTTACCTTAGAAATCCCCTTGTTTCTCTTTAATGGATCATTAGTGATATTTTGCACTCATTTCTTCCTTTTACCGTGTCTTTCTCTGACCTCTGTTTGCCCCTTTTCTCTCCTTATTGCCAGTCACAACACCAAAACTACATCGTGGCTGGATCCTCGGCTTGCAAAGAAAGCAAAGCCACCAGAAGAATGCAGAGAAGACGGTGAGTCTCGACGACCTGCTTGCCTGTTTGCTCTGTTGTTTTATAACTTTAAGTTTGTGTTCATCTGAGTCAAGCTCATCTTTTGAGGGAGTGTGTCATCAGTGCATTTTCTGCTGTCTGTGTACCTTCTTGTCTGTTCCACCGAGTTTTCCCTCCTCAAGAAAAATAGCACAAAATACTTGTTGTTTGATTTGTTTGTTAGTCTGCAGCCGGTCCCACCATTCTCCACGGGTTTTGGGAAGGGTACTCACACATTTTGATATTGATATCCAGAGAGAATAAACTTGACAAATCTACCTTTTTAAACTTGTTGTTGTGAAATGAACATTAAAATCGGACATGTGCTCAAGGGATACTAGCAGAAACATAGCAGACGAACCAATGACCAGCAGACAAAAGACAGGACTATAAATACATCAGAAACTAATCAGACAACAAGACACAGGTGGGCAGACACGAGGGCACCCCTGAAAGCTGATTGGTGGAAGAAACACAAGGGAACAGAGCAAGGCTGACGACTAATACGACACTGGTGATCACAGAAAAAAGGAGGGAAAACCACAAAGACAGGAAGTCAAACTACCACAGGACACAAGAGGCAGGGAATGTCAAAATATATCAGGAAACAAACTAAATCAAAACCAAGATCCAACAAAGTGGCTAGGGAGCTGTAGGACAGGGGGGCTGGACAGGGGTGAAGCAGAGAACCTCAGACAGGCAGAACCCCTCTGGAGGGCGACCAAACGGGCAGAACCGTTACAAGGGACGGGCAGGATGACCAGGCTGACAGAGTTGCTCCAGATGACGAAGACACTGACGGAGTTGCTCCGGATGGAGGACGAGCATGAGGACGACCAGGTTGCCGAAGTTCCTCTGGAGGTTGGACTTCTGGCGACTGGGTCTCTGGGGGCCTGGGTCTCTGGGGCTCTGGAGACTGGGTCTAGGGGGCCTGGAATTGTGGATCGGCGGCAGCTGGAAATGGGAGAAGCTGCGGCCCGGCGGGAACAGGGACATGAGTCGGCCGCTACGCCAGTGGAGCTGGAGTCGGCCGGATCGTCAATGCAGGAACTGGCGAGACGTCGGCTCGGACCACCGATGCAGGAACCGGAGAGACATCTGCTTGGACCGCCGACATAGAAACTGGGGAGACTTCTGCCATTCAGCTGAGCAGCGGAGACTTTGGCTCACTATAGGCATCTTGGGGAACTGACATGAATGACGTGACACGAAATTCGTATTCAAGATAGCCGACGTCCATTGTTGAATCAGAAATGGAGACTACAATGTTAGCAAAGCCTTGCACCAATGGTTCCGAGCTTCATTGAGAAAGCAAGCATTTTAATTAGCTTGTCATCTTACGGAGAGAACTAACCATACATGAATTCAAACTTTTTACAAATCGGCATCATTCTGTAGTTATTTCGGCATCCCTTTTTGTCCGTTTATTGCATTTAAATCACAGCTAAATTGGCTATTTTGGGTTCATACAGCTGTAGTAAATCAGCTGACATATGACTTGCTAGATACAGTGAATACACCTCGATGAAATTCATTGAGCGCCCCCGGATGATGTTATGAACTCAGACAAGGTGCCGTTTAGTTTCCCGGGATATCTGGGACTTCCACAACAAGTACAGAGCAGAAACAGTGGTTATTTCTTCCATGGTTGGTGGCGGAGGAAATAAATGGCTCCATGGAGATAAACCACCTCTCGTCTCTGGCGCGTCTAGCTCGAATTACGCGAATAAACACAAATGATCCCGCGAGTAAACTTCCCGCGTGTATGTGACCACTTGGAAACAAGCAGTGTCTACTTAAGTTCTCTCCTTTCGTCTGCCCATGAGCAACTGATGAACCAAAGAGCGATTTTCCTCTCACAGATTTAGAGGTCTGATGAGGTGAATCTCAAAAACAAAGATTACAGAAACAGTATTCTGAAAACAAAAATGCTATTTTGTGTGGCAGAGGTTGTTTTTATTCTTTTCTAAGCTGTTCATCATCCCTCAGATTTATCGGGCTCGTGGCTATATCTAACATGGTCCCACTTGCATCAGCGAGCAAGAAGGGGATGTACGTGGGACTCAGTGACTCATTTATGTGTTTTTAATAGTTTTTGGACAACAAGGGTAGTCTCTGGCACACGGGAGTAAGCTATGTCAGGCGTAGGATATGCACGCAGTACTTGCATGTAGGATCAATTGATTGTTTTGGTCTTTTCGTTGAAGTTGTTGACAATAAAATGCAGTTCAGCGTGTCAACTGTCTTTTAAGGTTTGTTTTAAATCATGGGATGCAAAGGTGTGTTCAGTTGTTTCTGAGGCTAAGATTAAGAACGGTGGTTTCATACAATGAATATCCAGCACTGAGGTCAAACATAATAAAATGCAGTTCCTGTGGTTCACTGGGATCAGATATATAACAATGAGATGAACTTACATCCCTGCTGCTGTCACAACCTTCGTTCAGCGAATTAGGTTGTGATGTGATTCACCAGAGGTATTGAATCAATACCTTCTCTACCTTTCCTCTGTTCTCCATCTCTTCAATTTTCTCCCTCCTCCGTTCTCCCCTGCACTCCTTCGCCTCACGTCTTCCTCTCTCTCTCTGCCTCTCAATTTTCCTCCCCTCTCTCTTTTTTTCTCCCACTTTCTCGGTCTCTCACTCTCTCCCTTTGCCCAGTAAAAGGCCTAACTGTGACTGGAATTCTAATAACACCGCTCAGCTCTGTACAAACTGGTTCTCACTCTCTACACACACACACACACACACACACACACACACACGCACGCACTACTGTTTTCAATTCACAAACCCTTTTCACAAACATGGCTGACGTGCTTCAGCTTTGTCCTGGCAGAGCAAAGATCGGTTTTCACCAACGCCGGTTTAGACGCCAACTGTCTGCGATGCTCTGTGATCACTTATTTTGTGTTTTAATACAACAACATGCTGCTGTTTCTGTCAGTGATCAATTCTGTGTTTATAGGTTTTAAAACTATCGCCTCATAACCAATCAAAAATGACAATTGAGAACCTTTTACAGATATTTATACATCAAGGGTTGATCAAATATATAGTCACCATCGCTGTCTAGGCTTATAGAGTGAACCATGTGACATATCGTAGAGTCCGGTTATGTTCCAAGGTTTGATTATATTTGCATTATTACAAATGTTTATGTATTGTGAATTAGGTTTTCTGAACAGAACCTGTAAGTTGTAGGCTGTCTGTAGAAAGTAGCCAGTTAGTATTTTGAGTCCCAAGTCTAGTCTTCTTGTCTGACAAAAATGAGATATGTCAATGACAACACTTGTAGTGTGAGATTGACCATATTAAATTAACTTTGCAGATCTGTGCCCTGAGAGGGAGAGGGAAAGGAAGTAGCTTCAGCCATGTTTGTGAAAGGGGCCAAAATATCCATAATTTCCCCCTCTTTCTGTCTGTCTGTCTTTCTGTCTGTCTGTCTTTCTGTCTGTCTTTCATTCTTTCTTTCTTTCTTTTTGTCCAGTTTTTCTACTGTGTGAAGCCTCCTCCTATCTTTGGGGAAGCAGTGGTTAAAGGAAGCTTAAGCGATCACCACTGGCAGAGGATTTTGCATTAAAAGATGTTAGCAGAACGTTTGTATGGGTCCTGGATGACACATCATCACATGCTCTCACAGCACCTTTGAATTTACACCTTCCAGAAACAGTTTTAGTTTCCAGGAATTATTCTTTTTCAGTATAAACAGCTCAGCATGACAGGAGGATATACAGTAGTTTCATCCAGCATGCTGCTCTACATTACTCATCCTGTTATTATTTTCTTTAATGAGCACACCGGTGTCCTGTAGCTCTTTCTTATGGGCTGCTCAGATGTTTGCACCTTCTGCATGCTTGCTGTGCACCAAGTGACAATTTAAAGGCAATTTCCCATTTTTGCCCACGTTAATGGACATGTAGTTTTTGAATGATTAAATATGCATGGAAGCAAGGATGTCAGATTCTGCAAGGAGAGTAAATAAGAAATAAGTGTGGGGAGGGAACAGCAGGAAGAGGTGGCGCTCTTTTAACTGCCCATATGCCTGGAGGATTTTCCAGAGTCGCACAGCCTCAGGCAAGAAGCAGACATACTAACAATATTTCAGCAATGCCGTTTTTGCATCTTCCCTCTTGTTATTCCCTTTCGGTTGCTTCCATCTCCTGCATGTCTGGTCTTTTTGCTCCACTTTTCTTAAGCATCCTCATTGACTATTCCCTTTCCCCTCACTTTTGGGTACATTTAAAGAGAAGCTTGACTGTGTTGATGTGTTTTCCGCAAATGTGCAACTTTTGTGTGCATTGTGTTGTGTCTTTATGCTGAGGTTGACTCGCAGAGTTCAAAGGCTTGTCACCACAGATCTGGTTCGCCTTGCAGTCTTTTTGTCAGGCAAGTCTTTTGTTACGTAACACAAGCAGACATCTCCTCTCTCACTCAGAAGAGGCAAGAACAGAGTGGGACAAGCTTCACATCACAGCAAGTGTTGGTTTCAATTCTGCCTTTGATATGCACACCCAATGCCGGTTTCAAAGTAATCTCAGTGCTGTTGACGAAAATATGCTGCTCATGCTTATCTAGAGGCAGGAATTCCATGTCAAAACTTCGTCTTTAACCGATGGACAAAAATATATATCTAGATATAGAATAGAGACTTAAGAAATTTGACTAAAAAGAAAAGAAATGATGGAGTTGGAGGAAGTAATGATGATGAGCCCTGAAAAGAGCAGGAAAGAGACGAATGGTGATGGAGAGAGGTTTGCATATGAGCAGAGTTGAAGCCCATGCATCCACTGACAGTGATGGACTCGTACTAAAATGTTACCTCTGAGTTACATCACTGTTATTACACTCACTCATGTTTGGGCCAGAGCTGTGTCTAGGTCTGTATTTCTTAACACCCCTTTACTCTCATGTTTCCGGTCGCTCTTTCTCTTCGTTTCTGTCTGGATTGTTCTTTTTTATTTCTTATCTATGTTTTGTAGATTTAGATTCAAAGCTGACACATTGTTATTGTTGCAGTCATAGTTTGAGCTGCAACGATTAGTCGATATGTTAATTAGTCAATCAACATAAAAATTCAAAGGTGGTTTGGTGACGTCTTTTCATCCAGCACCAATCATCAGGTCAAAATCTTAATGTTGGTTTATGACCAAATACTCTCAAAATGAATAACATCGTCATCAGCCTCAGCTAAACTATGTGTTGGTGCTTATTAGCAAATATTAGCATACTGACATGATGAACTAAGATACGAAGATGATAAACATATTAGCATTGTCATCGTGACCATATTAGCATTTAGCACAGCTTCATATAGCCAGTAGCATGGCTGTAGACTCTATGTCTACGATAAGGCAAAGATGCCAAAGATGCATGTGCTCCAGTGTCTCCAGTGAATGTGTGTTGGTTTTCTGAGTCTTCTATGATAACAGAAATAAATATATATGAGGTTTGGACTATTGGTCCAACATTACGTCAATGGCTTTTCAAAACTATTTTCTGACGTTTTTTAGATGAAATGATTTATCAATTCATTGAGAAAAGGACTTGTAAACTAATGAAATAATCATTAGTTTCAGTACGAATTCAGATTTATACATTTTTTGTCAGACGTTTTTTGAGTTGTGAGTTTTGTGAGTCGGATGAGTTCATTGAATCTGTTCCTGGCTGCCTGTTGGTCAGAGAGACTTTGTGTGAGAGGGTAGATGAGTCATCTAATGCAGAGGAATCACAATTAGACTTCATGTCTAGGGAGGCACCAATACACATACACACAAACAAGCAACCAAACACGCAAGCAAGCCCCTCGGTGCTCATATGATATACAGACGCATGACGAGGTGTTTGATTTAGTGTCAAAGTTGATGACGGTTACACTCATTCAGACATGCAAACACAGTTCAGCTATCTAATACACACACACACACACACACACACACACACACACACAAACACTCTCTAGCAGCAGGAAATAGAGACAAGACAGAGCCCTCAGCTCAGGCGAGAAAAAAAAAAAAAAAAGACTTCCACTGGTGGTTTCCATGGAAACTGTCTCCCTTTCACTTTAGGAGGTGGGCAACCGAGTAGTGGACGAGTTAGGCCGACATTTAAGGTGGCTCATGGACAGTGGGAGGGAAATTAAGGTGGTTTGAAGTGTGAATCCATCCGACTTTAATGCCTCGAGGAGGAGAAGGGTCTTCTGAGGTAATGGCAGTGCAGTGCAGGTGGTTTGAGCAAACAGTAAAGCAGACCACAGATAATTGCAGCATGCAACCCTTTCACCTTGGGCTGCACAGTCAGCATGCTCAGCAGTCAGGACACACACATTCGCACATGGATTATTGATATCAAGATCACAAATCTGTTGGTAATTGCATTACAGCGTGAGGGAATGATGCCACGGTCTCATTGTCACGCACACCAAATTATTGTAAAAATAATAGAGCTGAGGGTGTGTGTGTGTGTGTGTGTGCGTGCGTGCGTGTGTGTGTGTGTGTGTGTGTGTGTGTGTGTGTGTGTGTGTGTGAGTGAAAATGTCAGGTGTTTCTATGCTTTTGCTAGTTCAATACGTTTGGCACATATTTTCAATACTTTTCTTGGAGAAATATAAACATGCTGGAAATGGTTTCTTTTACTGGTCTGTAATTTACAAATATGACAAATCAGTTTTCATAGGGATAATTTCTCATGCCAAGTAAATATTCACTTAAATATATGGCGTGAATGGTAGTTTGTCTCAAGTATGTTCTTATTTTCCCTGTAAGTAGAACCAAATTAGATCTTTCTTTTGATAATAATTTTGATTTAAATCAGGAAGTACCTCACAAAACTGTGTAAAAAAAAGGTCAAACAAGATTATAAATTTGGCCAGGCATTTAATGGAAACACTTGGTACTTTTGATAATCACCACTATAAACCTATTTGGGTTAATATTGAGGTTTGATGCCTAGCCCTATAGTGTTGCCATCAGTTATGGCATTGCCTTGGGCCAGCCGGAGGTTAGAAACGGAAGCATCACACCCTAAACACCCTAAACTCCCCACTCCACCTGCCTACACATTCACACACCTTTCCATACAAATTCAATGCCCAACACATCCTTTCACACACCCTATTCTCTCTCACTATTTTTATTATCCTCACCTAAACCTCCTTTTCTACCATCAAGGTTGTCAGCTCTTGTGTCTTTCTGTATACATGTCATCTTTTGACACTAGTATTCTTCCACTCTCATCGAGTTTGCTTTATTTCCCTGTGAAAAAAGGCCATTCATGGATATAGTCATGAATTTAATGAAGTATATTTTTGTATGTAAGTTAGAGCCTCATAGTGCAAGGTCAATCCCCTTGTGTTCCTAATGTCTTAGTGATAACACATTTAAAACTGAAATTTAAAGCTGAAAACCGAAACAACCTGAATTTTGTATACGACAGAGAGAGCTCATTATAGTGCAGTGTATATGGTATGTACGTGTCAGTGAGTAGGTAGAAGAATAGGGCATAGAGTGCTGGCATTTTTGCATTGCCTTGACCCAGATCTTTTATGATGGAGAGACGAAAGCTAAATCGGCAAAGGGATGGATGAAGTGAGGAGGGAACAGAGATCCAGAGGAGTGAGAGGAGGAGACAATTAACACGACAGCCATGGAAGCCATCCAAGGCGAAAACGAGTGGGTGGGGAAAAGAAAAGAGAAAAGGGGACACAAAGTAGTATGGTGAAGGAGGTATTGGGCCTTAAAGGGCATGTATACAGATTGTTAAGCCCTCAGGCAAATTTGTGATTTGTGATTTTGGGACATACAAAATCCATTGAATTGAAAATTGAATTGAAATGATTCATGCACACGACAAAAAGAGAAGACTGAGAGAAAGATAAGGCAGAATGAGATGTGTCAAACGATTGAAATGTTCTTTTACTCCTGCCCTGCTCTGTGTTGATGCCTGTGTTGTGGTTTGTGTCTCCATGAAGAAGCCACCTCTACAGATCGAAGTGTTGTCTGTCTATTAAAGGAGCGCTTTGGGAGCGTCTAGCTGTGAGACCTGAGATTCATGTTGTCTCCCTTCAGTGGTTCAATTTAGTCGACATTCCTTCTCCTGCTCTCAGCATAAACTGGCTTCATTTCCCACGTCTGTTTTCTCCCTACTCTACAGAGCTGCCCTATGGCTGGGAGAAGATAGATGATCCCATCTACGGCAGCTACTACGTAGAGTAAGTCTCTCTGCTGACTTGGGTTAACTCGGCTTCTCTGTAGTAAAACAGGAAATGCATTTCTATGGGTTACAACGCCTCGTTATGAATTATAATTGACTTAATTCTCATTTATTTTTCATGTCTTACTGCTCACTTAAATTTTACAGTGAAATTCTGTATGGACTATCAAGAGATCTCTCATACTGTATTGGTTTAGTGCTGTTTAATTTGGACGTACATTCACTTAGCTGCATTTGAAGCTAACAAAGTAAAGAACAGTTATAGTTTTGGAATCTTGCCACTTATTATTTACATTTCTTACAACATTTACAAATTACTTTGGAATAACATTTTAAAATCAAGACAAAAAAAATCATAAGCTTTTATGTATTGCTATATTTCAAACTAGCCCAAAGTAAATTTAGTAGTTAGAGTTTTCACTATCTGGACCCACCACAACATTTAAACCTGTAGTGTTGTTCAGATTGAGGCAGCATATAGACCAGGTCAGCGCAGTTGTCCTTGCTTTACTGTATCAGTTTATCAAGATATTATGGCGATCATGTTAGCAAACACACTTGCCTAAAATCACTTCCAGCTGTTGAATATTCACAGGCATTTTATCTCTAGATTTAACTCTTGAAAACTTTGTGTTTATAACACTTCACCAGAACTTTAGTTTGGGTTTGCTGCAATCTGTGTTGACCAGATATCTTGCACATGGCTTTTGTGAGCTAGAGCAGCTACCAACCATCTTAAATGTGTAGATGTTTAGAGCTAAAGGGACTCATATTGTCACAGTATGCATGAAAACAATGAGCTGAAAGCAGCTATTATTGGACAGAGAGCTGTAGCGCTGGACTGCTGATTCTCAGTGGGATTAGCAGGACTAGCAACCCTTTCTCTTAGCAGGGAGTCATTTGACTCAACGTGACTCAAAAATACTACTCAATGGAGTTTCAATGCGTCAATCATTTAACACACTGAAAGGCACCAGTGTTCTGAAAGAACACTTTTTGTTCTCAAGTGCATTTCGTTGAAAATACCTCTTAACGTTGGTAAAAATCTGAATGCAGAATTACATTGTGGTATTGGTATTTCTGGCTTGGCGCGTTGAATGATCCCTTTTCCCCTTTTTGTAATGATGCGTTGTAATTTCAGTCATATCAATCGAAGGACTCAGTTTGAGAACCCAGTCCTGGAAGCCAAGAGACGCCTGGAGCAACAGAGGCAGATGCAGAGCCAGGGACTCTCTGCTCTACCACTACCCACTATATACAGAGGTACACTTTGAATACTAGAGTATGTGCAGTACTTAACTCAAAACATGTTGTCACACTTACAGATTGCAAAAAAAAAAAATGAAAATGCAAAGACTGCCGGAAAGACACGCAGGCAAATGGCCTTCATCTTCTGGCCATCAAGGGCCCCTAAAACATGGATGCTGATACATTTTATTTATTGTATATCCTCCCTGTTGTACAGATTGTTTATATTGAACATTGTACATTTTCTTCCATCATTTTCCTAACGCATCTCTCATAGAACGGGCAGTTTCATGAGTATTTGAAGGGGCAGATGCACAATGTGACAATGTACAGGGTCGAATGGAGATTGCTGGCAGTGCGGGGGACAGAGAACATGCTCGCCCTGAGGCCCGTAGTGGTCTAGTCTGAGTATGAGGACGTACTAGACCAGCACATAATGTACGGCTTCATCTGAGTGAGACTGCACCTCTTCGATGAGTCATCTAATCAGGAATTAAGGCAAATGTGTCTTTATTGCTGCTTTTGTGTTCAGAAACAATGTACAATAGGTTCATTCAGCACTGAAAAGTTCATGGCAAACTTTAATTTCAAGCAAATATAATGTGACCGAACAAATGTGCATGGTTTCTAGATATCAAGAATATCTAAAATATCACAATTCGATACCTTCTGTCCCTTCAGAGAAGCCATTGTTTACGAGGGACCCAACCCAGCTGAAGGGGAACTTCCTGTCAACAGCCCTGCAGAAGAGCAACATGGGATTTGGATTCACAATCATCGGAGGTGACGAGCCCGATGAGTTCCTGCAAGTGAAGAGTGTAATACCAGAAGGACCCGCTGCTCAGGATGGAAAGATGGACACAGGTAATTATGTGGACCAACACATCATTTTGACAGCTGGTTGAGAAATAAATTGAGGTTTACACAAAAGTCTCCACTGATAACGTAATACTGTGTTTATAGAAATGCTTAAGCACAGCCTCATTATTCTGATACCTCAACATAATGGACCTTAATTTCCTGCCAAAGCAGATCAAGTGTGAAGGCCTTTCACTGGCAGAGTTTTAGATTTATTCAAGCAGGTTACCAGCCTGTTGGGTAATTTCTGTCAACATTTCTCGTGCCTAAAAGGCAAGGGGAGCACAGTAGTAGTCGGTATCCAGTCAATTTGGTGCTGCAGTTTAATTTTTTCTCTGCCAAGTCAGAACATTTTATGCATAAGCACTAATGGACTTCCAAAATGACAGTCTGACAAAGAAAGCAGTGATAACCCATTGGGTGATGTTTTGTGGTCCTGATGTGCTTTAGAGATGTTGTCAACCAAAATAAACTGTTGCTTTCATCCAAACTAAGCTCAGTACAGGCTATTACACAGGTTCCCTTAAGCCTTCACCTACCAAGGGATGAACACATATTGACGGACATACAACATCATGAAGGCCCATGCCTCTGTATTGGGCGGCTGCGGCTTAGAGGTAGAGCGGATCGTCCACCAATCGGAAGATTGGCGCTTCGATCCCTGGCTCAGTTGAGCCAAATAAGCCGCCCAGCTGCAACGATTATGCACAAACAGGTTTAATCCATCAAAACAGGCAGTTTCTAGTTCACGGAGTTCAAGTCCTGGAGAGTTAGCAGCCTCAATGTTGTGTGCATTGTCGTGGACACAAGCAGCCACTTTAGTCTCCGTCGCATCAATTAGTTTAGCTGCAAGGTTGCAAGCTGTGTTTCTGCCTGGCGTGCTCTGTCAGGGTTTCCGCCATTGTATTGCAAGCCTGGCGTAACGTTAGCAAGTGGTCGGTCAAAAGAGATAGCGTGTGTGTAATTGTGAGTGTGAAGATAACAGCAGCGCTTTAGCTGTGGACATTGCAGTGCAGTGTGTGTACAGTTTATTTGTTGTTGAATGAATGGTACAACCCCTTTAAAACCTATGAGGAAACCCAACTAAAGTTCCTGTGTGTTGCTTGTCAGCTTGCTACTGATTACAGTGAAGGGGATAACCCCGAATTTAGCTACAACTCTGGCGCTCTTAAAAGGTTTTTTTTATGTTATATGTTTTTTATTTAATATTTTCGAAAGCTCGGTAAAATGGTTAATTATTAGCATCCCTACTGCAAATAACTGTGCTCAATTTGTATCAGGAAAGCACAATGTTGTCAAAATGTCAACATTTGACAACGGCATCATTTTGTATATTTAATTTATTCCAGTCAGAATGTGAGGAACATCTGAGGAAAGTAAACCATGATTTTAAAGTAATTGTTAGAAGTATAATGGTATTATTAAATACTTCTATGGGTACTCTGTATTGGTCTGAACAAAGTGGTATCAGCGCATTCCTAATCGGATCGGTACTCTGATCGGCTCACACCCAAAGCTATCGTATCAGTATCGGGGCTAAAAAACACAACGTTCTTTTAAGTTGTATAATGAAGTTAATGATGTGAACAAAATTGCATTGGTAATCAGTGATTGCAGAGACATGTTGATGCACAAGTTAAAAAAAAACTCAGTGGTAGATGATTCTGTATTCCCAGAAATATCAATTTATCCTTAAAGGGGACATCATTGGCCCTCGGTGGCATATTTAGGGTGCCCTATATTTGTGCCTGCAGCACAGTGTGTCCCAGACAAGGACGTCAGATTCCTTTCAGTGCACGCTGTCCTCTGTGAGTGCACTATAATGTTCTGCTTTTAATGGGAATGAGAGGAATTGATTTGATTGACTATAACTGACACCAGCCCACACAACACCTTCTTCATTAGGAGTTGAATTCCGGCTTTTACAGCGGCACTGCAGGTGCAATATCACCAGTGGTCACAGTATTATCAAAAATCAGTCACACACAGATACACCAGCTGTGGCGGTTCCAAAGGGGGGCAGCTGCCACACTTAAAACATGCCTTGCCGCACCAGCTGACACCCCAGTTTTAGTAAATCTAATAAAAAAATGTTTAAAAACTGATGTCCGAGTGATGCATCAAGCATCTCCCAAAATATGTTTTTTTCATTGATAAAGTCTTTGAATTTATTGATTTCTAATGCTACCTTTTAGTATTTATATTCAATACTTTACTCATTTGCCACACTAATGTAATGTTTTTGAGTTAAAATATCTTCACAAATATTATTTGTGATTGTTTGTGATTAAATTAGCATCTATTTCTGCCCCTTAAAGTCTCCATGCCACCCTCTTGCCACACCATTCATATTTCTCTAGATCCACCACTGTCCTCAAGTGCCAAGAAATTGCCCCATACTTGTGTCTCTGCTTTATCCATAAAACCAAGTCTATAACATCCATAAGTTTCACATGGCTTACTGTCGCCTCACAGCAAGAGCGATTCGAACTCGGGCTGGTCGGCCCTTCTCTGTGTGGAGTTTGCATGTTCTCCCCGTGTCAGCGTGGGTTCTCTCTGGGTTCTCCGGCATCCTCCCACAGTCCAAAGACATGCAGCTTAGGTCAATTGATGACTCTAAATTTCCCGTAGGTGTGAATGTGAGCGTGAATAGTTGTCTGTTGTTAGGTTTCAGTCTGGCAACCTGTCCAGGGTGAACCCTGGCTTCGCCCCAAATTAAACTAGGATCAGCTCCAGGAGTGATCAGTTCACAGTCTTACCTGAAGAACAAAATACCCAGAGATTGTTCCATAAGACCTTGGGGTAACAAAGATACATTTTTAAATGTTTACAGAAACACACCTTGGTTTATGACTAACCTTAAACAGCTGATGTTGGTAAAAATCATAGTGGGCTATAGTCATAGGCTCAGAGAAGCAACTACTGTATGAGGCTTCATGTGTCTGCTCTGAACCTGTGAGCTAGCCTCATGTCTGGCACGGTTGGTGCCTAAACCGTCCATTTAGAGCTCAGTTCGGAGTGGGAATCCTCCTTCCTACTCTCAGCTCCTGCTCTCTGCTTTTATGTCTCTCCCTCTGCCTATCAGTTTCTCTTTTATCTGGAATCCATCTCTTTCTATTCTATCTCTATCTCTCTCTTTGTCTCTCTGGCTCACCCTTTATTATGCTTCCTTATCTAACCATGCCATCTGACACCTCTCCTCTGCTTTCAGCCTCAGTATATTTTCATCCTCTTTCTCTTTCTACCTCTAGTTTTTTCTCTCTCTCTCTCATCCCTCTATCCTTGTCTGTAAGCCCTTTTTCTCTCTCTCTGTTCTGATTTCTCTCTCTCTCTCGAACTTGCTCCTCTCCGCTCTGTGACATTGCCAGAGCTGCTCACACACATGCATGTGCAAACACATTCACACTCAGGCATGCACACAGTCACAGAGTCACACAGGCACTCCCTGGCTGAGATTAGCTGGCCTATTTGAGCCGTGCGGCATTGCTCTTAGGGATTGTGTATGACTGTGCATGTGAAATGTATGATGTGTGTGTTTATGTGTGTGCACATGCTCACGGGAGTGTGCGTGTCTGCATGTGTGACAGAGAGTGCTTCCAGAAATGTGAAATAGAGGATTTGAGGCGGCTGCATTTGTCATGGGGCTGTGACTTTAATGCTGAAATCCAAAACTTTCCGCACATTCAAACTACAGCAGAGATGACAGAGTATCTAGTGTCGCATTTGTGAAGTTGTTTCACCTCGTTAGAATTTGTTAACAGAAAAAAATGGCATCGACCAACCTGGTAACGCAAACATGAATACATAATTAGGTAGACACTGCCAGCCAGGTGGAGCGTGACCTGACAAAGAGAACTTTTCTTGCACATTTGCATTTTGCTCACCAGCTCAACCGGGAGATGCCACATCATAATCAAAATAATAATCATGCATGAGCCATCACTTATTTAAATTTTGGAGGTTTTTGCCTGATTGGAGTCTCTGTAATGCTAACGTGCACCAGATCATATTCACAGAGACACACCAAGACACTGACCCTGTCTGTCTCTCACCTCGCTGTCTTCCACATGCACTTGCAGATTGCCTCCAGTGGCAGTGAACAGATATTATACTCCTATGTGACACTTGAGAGGGACAGAGTGCTTTTTCTGTGTTGCTACAGCATGTGCTGATACCGCTGAGATTTGATATGGCAACAGACGGTGACAAGTTGTGTTTTTTGCAGCACAGTATGTTTACAGAAGAACCATTGAGACCAGATCACGTGGTCTGTGTAATATGTAACATACCGTAGTGTGCGTGTGACTGAAGCTGTCGTGTGTCCTTCCTATCTCCTTTCTCAGGTGACGTCATTGTCTACATTAATGACATCTGCGTGCTTGGCACCACCCACGCCGATGTGGTCAAGCTTTTCCAGTCCGTACCGATCGGTCAGAGCGTAACCCTCGTGCTCTGTCGAGGCTATCCTCTGCCCTTTGACCCCGAGGACCCAAGTGGCGCAGCGAGCACTTCTTTGACACCCATCGGCCTGGAGCATCGCCCCCTGGCGGTGAACGGCCGCGGCAGCTACGACCCCTACCTAGAGTATCTGTCGTTGAGCTCCCAGCTTCCTCCTCAGGCTCTGACCCAGGCCGGGGCCCCTCATCCCGGGGACACACATCTGGATGGCTCATCTCTGCCGCCCACCACACCTGGTTCCGCATCCGCACTCACGCCTCACGACGACAATGTGTCCATGGCCTCCTCTGGGACTGCAGGTGTTGCTGGGGTACCAGCACAGGGGGCGGAGTTTCTGACAGTTACTATGGTGAAAGGGGCCGAGGGTTTTGGTTTTACCATTGCCGACAGTCCCACTGGTCAGCGAGTAAAACAGGTGACGTATCGTGATCATTTGTACAACTCTTCATTCACTTTAGACCATGAATGGTCCAGAAATGAAAGGCTTCAGACCTGTTTGATATTTCTGTGATTCAAAAAGGAAATGTGTTCTTTCAAGCGCAAAATCTCAGTAGTCAGCTAAACTCAGTGATCAAGGTGAGTTACACTTTCAAGATAAAACTGAGGGTCAAGGTCAATTTAATTCAGTCGACGCCATTAAGTAGAAAGAGATTGAGATAATAAGAACAAAGTGAGCTGAGCCTGTGAAGACTTTTCTATCTACGAACATAGAAATGAATGATAGAAAGACTCGACTGTCCTATAGAAGCTACAGAATGGAAAAAAAACTGTCTTTAAGAAATAGATAAATTATAGAAGATTGGTTGTTATGATGTGACAGATTCTATTTCTCATCCCTGTTGTATTTCTCCAGTAAAACATCTGCACTTCGAACATCTGTTTGAACAAATAATTAGTTTTATGTTTTTGATGGATACTTTTAAAATATACCATGTGCATGTCTTTAGTCTAATCCAAGTTGGTTAGTTGTGTTAGACATTAAAAGCTTTGCGTTAGTTGGAAGGAGCCACACAATTGAATGGCAGCTAGTCACATTTGTGTGACGTGTATGAACTGTGCTGTTGTGGTGCAGGTGCTGGAGCCGGGCTCACAGGGAGCGTCGGGGCTGATCGAGGGAGACCTGATCCTGGAGGTGAACCAGCAACCAGTGGCTGCAGCCGGACATGGACGAGTGGTGGAGATGCTTAAAGAGTGTCCTGTGGGAGCCGAGGCGACTCTCCTCATACAGAGAGGAGCGACAGGTGAGAGACTTGTTTTGTACTTCTAATACAATTTCACTCCTTCTATTGTTCATTCATGAGGGCTACAAGGAGACTTGTAGATAACACAACTGGTGTCAGATAAAGCAGATATAGTACAGAAAGTTGATAGTTATATTGTACGTTTTGATGGATTTCTTATGTTTATGACAACATTTGTTTGGGCATCTATAAACTCTTTTAGACCTGGTGATTGTTTTTTGATCTTTTCATGTCAGCAGTGGTGGCAAAACATGATGCCAGTACAATTGGTATCAAAGCACAAGTGGCATTTTGGTAACTTTCAAAGATAATTTTAGCGAAATGAAAGAAGGGTCCAGTGTTAGAGCAACTGTTCAGCTAAATATAAGCTGTTTTCTGATTAAGATATAACAAATATCATGTTACTGTGCATCTTCAACCCCAGCTGCAGCTTAACAAGAGAGGAGTCAAGTAGAGTGAGACCCGAGAGAGCAGAAGAGATTTTGATTATGATAATCTTGAGACTGTTATATTTTTGAACACATTCAAATCACAGTGGCCCCTTACTTGAATTTTATTCAAATCTTTAGATGAGATTTTATTTTTGGAATATTAAATAGTTTAGAAGCTAGAAGAAAAAAAAGCATTTTATTATTTTTTTGAAATAACAGTAAATGTGTTCTCTTAAAAAAAAAAAGTTTACTCATTCATGGTATGTTAATGGACCAATAATTTGGGTATTTTGGTTAAGAAAAACTTTAATGTTCCTCTTGGGGAAATTAGGTCATTGCAGGAGCAAGCAGCCCCCAGGACATATTGTGAGACACAAGAAGAAACATTGAGAAGAAACGTCCGTGTAAAGTAGAATCTGAGATTTGAGACGACATGTTCGACCGGATGATTTCACAAGTAACCAGTTTACAAGCTACTTATCACAGCCTACAGTTTGCGAGCTAGCAGCGGTGTACTATCCATCTGGCATACTGGGAGAGGCTGAGTTTTTACCGGCCGTCCGGCTCTGTCCGTGTGCTCATTGCGCATTGAGATCGTCTGTAACTGTACGTAAGTAATCAACCTCTGCCAAGATTGGCCCTTCAGCGGACCACGTCCCCAGCGTTTCAGAGCAGAGATTACTGCTTATTTCTTTACCATTTTGAAACCTAATTTTATATACTAGCCAAATTGTTTTAATCATTCAAATTCAGCTTGGCGGTTGATATCACTTTTGTTCTGGGGTGTGACAAACTCACTTTAGTCAACATTTAATGTATATTAAATGTGATAACTCATGCAGAATATATAAACATTAGTGAACAGTGTCAACAGATATCATAGCAAGTGTTTGCCACTATTTTCTAAATGTGGCTTTATCGCTAGCAATATGTCATCAATGTTTTCCACTGGAGCAACACAGGGTAAGTGTTTTAAGATACAGCAAATCAGAAGCTGGTCAGATTTAAAATGCAGTGGAGAGTTTGGGAAAGAGTCTATCTCACCGTTAGGTTTAGTACAGGTCTGTGGATAGAGATGGCACCAACACTGCTGAGGGGAGGCAGTTTTATTCCCACTGGGGCCACTCATCTTCAAAATAAATGCAGTCATTTTACTGTAATATGCTTTGGAGAGAGATGACTGTGGAGAGTGTCTTTTAGCTGGCAAACAAGCTGCACTGGTTGGCATAACGCTGTTTGGCCACCTGTACTGACTGCGCTCTCTTTGATTAAACAAACAGCATTTGCACCGTGTTATGGATTCATAAATTGTCAATTTTTAATTGGTGCTGAAGAGAAAATACTCCCCAAAAAGCTCTAAACACACATACCTATTTGTGACACAATGCCTATATATATACATATATATATATATATATACATATATATACATATATATATATACAGGTATTGTGAGTGATTGACCACACACAATTCTGTCCATCTGGAAAATTCTTCTTCTAGATTTTTCTCACAATGGCTCCTCCTCCACACACTTACATTTTAAGCATCAACATTGCGCTGTGATTGCTTTTATTGTTGGCTGTCTCTGTATTTAGATTAGGCTAGTGTTGTTCCACTATACCTGTCACATGTTAGATTCCTGTAACAAGCACTGCATTTTAATGAAACTCTCGACACCACCTTTTAAGTTTCCTTCCCACGTTCCAGCATTGTACCACATGCCCTCAGTGAAATAAATTAAAATTGACTTATAACGTAGCAGGAAAGAGGAATGAGAGAGAAGTGTGGCCATTTTCACTCTTCTGCAATTTTCTAGCAGATTGCCCATCTGCTAAGAAATTAAATTGCACAGTGAAAGCTTTATTTGTTTGACGTGATCTTGCACTGATTCTCTAAAAGGTGTTCTGGTCAAAGGGTCAAAATTTGACTTGCTAAATAACCGGGATGCCTATACCACTCAACCCCACGATGATTAACCGTACAGCACCGTTTAGTAGCCTGAATGAAAGTTAAGAGAGTCAAAAAACCAATCTGTCCTCTGGCCAATTAAAGAAACACATGTAGTTATAAATTCACTGTTTGCTTTTGGTGTGCCATCCAGCAGCTTTGCACGTCTAGGGATACATTTCTACGAGTGAAGAGTTAATCTGCATTGTTTCTGAGAGGATAACAGAACAATAAAGAGGAATTATAGATGTGCTCACCTTGCATCGCTCTTTTATCTTGGATTGTGTTTAATTAGGGATGAAAACAATCAGGCTCATATGCATCTCAGGTTTAATTAATTGAATGGTGACAATAATTATTAATGCAGACCTAAAAAGCAATCAAAGACATCAACACACATTTAGTGATCCTGATACATTAGACTATCTGATGTAAGTGCTGCTGGGTGGTTTGCTGATTTTACACCAGTCCTGTTGTCTCCAGTCTTGCAGCACGTTGTTAAACATGGAGATGTATTGATGCCTCATCCTAGTGAATTGTGTATGTATGTAGTTATGCAAATTTCACTCTGTCAGTTTATTACATGGAAGCTAATAAATTCTGCTGAGTTGGTTATGTGCACAAATGTATGTCAGCATGCATGCATGTGTAGGTGAGCAGCTGAGATCAAATGTTGTGGTGCTGAGACTCTAGCATCTTATGACCATGCAGAGCCAGCATCTGCCACCTGGTGGTTAACCTTTGCAAAGACATTCACTCATGTTTCACTGTCAGACACGCCATTTAAAAAGGATGCTGAAATTCAATATACAAATGAGATTGCCCAACAAGGATTAACGTTTCATTACATGTATATACACCGATCTGTATTCAACTTTACTCGCAGCCTGCTGTAGATATCCTTGTGAATGCTGAACTGAATGTGCAAATTACCTCCCTTCCCCCAAAGAGGCCATCTCCCCCAACCTCACCCGTTTCTATCAAACAGCTCAGCCTGACACACCAGGAACCTCTATGACTCTCTGTGTGTGGCTCTCTCGCTGCAGGGTGAAAGAAAGGACAAGGTCCTTTACAGTGACTCAGATGTACAAAATGTCAGGAATGCTTAAGCTTGTTTGTGTTCACAGATGTAGGATTTCTGTGCAGAGCATCAAAGGAATTTAGTTTGCACACATGATTTCAGATATGAGACTGAGAGCATCAGTGCTTTGTGTACAACAGACAGGGTGTTACACTTCCGCTGTATGTGTGAGTGTGTGTGTGTGTGTGTGTGTGTGTGTGTGTTTGTCTCTGTGTCTGACTGCTGTAGCGTGGGCTTTCTGCCAGAGTTACACTGAGCTCTGGTCGTGTTCACAGCTCGGTCCCCTGACATCCCAGTTTGAAGCGGAGCCAACCGCAGACTAGAGACTATTTTGCAGCACCAATGAGGATGCAGATCATGGCCGTGAAGAAAAGGGTGACAGACTGCACAAGCCAATCAGGCTGATCTGAAGGCAATCCAGAACTCAGCAGGCTAGTCTGTGAAGCCAGCCTGCCAGACTGTCTGACCACTGACTCCAGATAGAGGCCACATGATGCCTCTCTACCAATCATTCATTTGTAATTCATCAGCATTCATTCAAGCCCGCCACACATCCGGCACATATGCCGATGAACGGCATTAGCATTTAAATTAAGCTTAAATGCCTCTGTGAGGAAGACGCTCCTCTATAATATGACTGGACAATTGCCTTATAGCTCATACTCATTTCCCTCAGTGGGTCATAAAGGAAAGTTTCCTGAGAATTAATTATTAGTATTCCTTAAAGGCTTCCCTTAAGGCCCGTGTTCCCGAGAGAACATGGTTATTAGTCCCAACCTCCCACAAAGCCGTCCCTTTGCTGCTGCCACAGTGCTGAATGGTTTCAGCACCAAGGACAGCTCTCATCAAACCATCATTCATGTTTATGTTTGTGCATTCATGTACAGGGAGGGGTTTTATTTCCTCATATTCGCTTGTCCTCCTTCACGCTCAAAGTAACAGCAGGGACACTTATTTTCAAAATGGAAAAGATTTCCTTGCAAAAATTATGTGTTACTTAGATGAATAGTGGGGGGGTTGGGTTTGGAAAATATGTGTGGGGGGGGGGGGGGGGGATAAAAGTAAGAATGGCATAAATAAATTTCAATTTTCATTTTGTCCTCATATGGACTGGCAGTGATCTATTGTATTTAATTTCCCTTAAATCTCCCCTCGCTCAATGATTTTGATAGAAAGTTCCGCTGCTAAGGGCTCTGGCTTTCATCTCACACATCTAAAAAGCAGGCGGATGTAGTTGGAGAGTAATTCCATAAATATATTTCTTCCAGTGCTCTCTGACATTTCTTAGGAAATCTCATAAACTGAATAAATATTAAATATATCAGGATTCTCTAAAGAACATTTTACAAGAGCCCACAGGATTCATCAGTGACGCTGCAGGAGTCGAGTGTGCCTCACGTGCGTGTTTATGCATTTCTATCCACATGTGTAAAGATTCAAACTGCATGTTTATACAAAGCAGCCATTGCATGTGATCCCCCAATGTGTAAATGTATGTATTTGGGTCTCAGCAGCATAAATGTGCTGTACGTCTTTGATTCAGTGGACTCACAGGGGAGCTGTGTTGATGAGAATGTTGTTGCGATGTGGAGCGCTCCCTACATGCAGATAAAATACGACTTGTAAAGAAAACTGTGTGCGTGTGCGCGTGCATTTGCCTACAGCCAATGATGTAATTATGTTGAAAACAAATGCAACTAAACCCATTTAGTAAGAGTTACACAAACAAAGTCAAAACAGAAGGAATATGAAATCAGCCAGCTGAGATTTATTTCACAAGTTGAGGGGAGAGGATTTAACAATCATATCCAACATCTCATTTATAAAAACCTCTGCACATAGGTTCTATTAAAGTTGTTTTTTGTCTGAATTGTTGTAATTGTCTGTATTTTTGTTCTTTCGGAAGAATCCGACGGAATATCAGTCTGCTCTCTGTAAACTGTGTTTTCTCTTTCTTCCTCAGGCCACATCTCTCCTCGGAAGGCCTCCAAACAGGTACGATGATTGAACCAAATGTGTTTCTGCTTGTGTGTAGGTGAGCATGTGTTTGACTGAAAGGAAGATAGTCAGAGAGTAAATGTGAGATTTGTTTGTTGAAGCAGAAGAGGTATGATTCAAGCGTGTAAGAACAGCGTTTGTCATCGAGGCCGTGTTGCCTCAGAGATGTTTGGCTTTTGCTTTTACTGTGAAATGAGCCAGACTGTCGTGACCTGCTTATTGGTTTGATCACATCAGATCTCACACCTCACCAGCTGGGGAAAAGCTCTTCAGATTTCTACTTAAGCTGCAGCTGCTACTGCTTATACAATCACTACTCATTCATGGTATTAGATGGAATATTCAGACATAATGAATCTCATCTCATGTCAATTTAAGTTATGAATATGTATGCGTGGCCAAATAGCCATTTTTATTTATTGTATAATTGAGTAACAGAAGCATGATGTTTTCATGAAGGTTTATTGCATTTTAATACCGCTGTGACTAGACTTGAGTTTGCACATTGTACTATTTTGGGGTTTTTCCACACATGTGCGAATATCAGTTCTTATATCTTGCATTCAGTTGTTATATCTTGTCTGCACTGCAGGTCGGTGCTAAATTGTATTTCAGCTGTTTGTTGCTGTTGTGATTTTTCTGACCTGCATGGTGCAGTAACACATGGGCTGTTGCCAGCATTGGGTGTCTGTCATGAGTGGACTATGTCTGTGACTTGTTTTTTATTCTGCATGTTGACCTGTGCAGTATGCACTTTCGCGCTGGGCACCAAAATACCACACAGTAAGGCCAAGCCTTCCTATTCAAGGTCAGGAAATGAGCAAGTGGTGAACACGCTGTCTGCCCTGGTCGTTGTGCCGTCACAATAGGGCCCCATATCTTAAATGAAACAACTGCTGTTGGCGTTCTCCTTGTAGTTGCCTGAACAGTGGGATCCACATGGCAGCCCCCAAGCGAACCTGTCCGGCCCAGTTGTGCCGCCTGGTACACCCTTCCCAAACCAGCCACAGCACCGCACGTCTGTGCCTGACTCCACCGAGGGCTTCGATCTTAACAAACCTGACCCCTATGACCTTTATGAGAAGTCGAGGGCTATCTATGAGAGCCGACGTAAGTACTGAAACTTCGTTCATGGGAAATGGAGCATTATGTTGCTTGAAACGGCTTACAATATGATGATTTGAAATTAACGAAAGAGTCAACCCTTGATGTCGCTATTTGTGTCTCAGGTCCAGAGTACGAAGAGGTGGAGGTGCACCTGCTGAGAGAGAAGACCGGGTTTGGCTTCCGCATCCTAGGGGGAGACGAGGCCGTGCAGGCTGTGAGTCCGGACGCCCGTGACAAGGCTCGTATGGGACGGGCTGGACCACACACATATTTAACCTCATGCACACCAACCTCATCCAACCTGCACCTAACCTCATCATACACTTCATCCTGTCACACACATTTGACCAGCATACACTCCACACACACACACACACACACACGCGCATCTGCACAAAAGCACTCCTTGGCTTTTTCACTCAGTCCTAACTGCTCAGTACCTCCCATACTGAAGTAAGGCCTTGCTAACTTGTCCAAGTGTAAAACAGCATGTAAACTATGATACAGAAGAATGTAGCAGGAGAACAATAGGAAGGTGGAAAAATGTTACCATGACCCAAAGGAGTCAACCTGGATAGTGCAATTACTGGGAGATTCGACTGTGTCTCTGTTTCATCCTCTTCACCTTCACCTACGCTGCTAATATTGATTGTCTTTGAACAGATTGTTATTGGGGCTATAATAGAGAACACCCCCGCTGAACGCGATGGGCGGCTTCGACCTGGGGATGAGCTCATTTCTGTGGATAAAAATGTGGTTGCTGGGAAACCGCACAAATACGTAATAGACTTGATGCACGCAGCAGCGCGCAACGGTCAAGTCAGCTTGACTGTGAGAAGGAGAGTGCAAATGCCTGGTAAGGACATGTTGTGTATTTTTGTTCTTTTTTTTGTTGTGTTTGTTTGTTTCACACTTTAGTGCGATTGGAGAACGTGCTGCACATTTCACTGGCATCAATTTAATAAAAAACAACTTGGACAGGACACACATGCTGACAATCTGTGTGCAGGATCAGTGTGTACTTCTCTCCCACACATCTTTTCTGTGGTAGTGGTATGCGCATGTTTAGTAAAAACAACGAAACACTTAGTATTTCTCTGTATTTTCATTATTTACTCCATTTGCCACAAACAAAGTCCTCTCCAGTGCACAGAATTGCCATTAGCAAGCGTGTCAGTGTTTTGACCAATAACACAGTGAAAGTCTGATCATTTAGCCTGTTATTGTGCATAGAAAACCACCCAACTAGATTTGTTCAAGAAGAGCAGTAACACACATGTGTACCACTGTTTAGTAGACCTGTGAGGGATCAACTGTGCACGGCATGCGGTGGATACATAACGGCCAAACACACTTTTGTGTTCACCGTTGCTGGCTGACATGTAAAACAACATGAGGCGAGATGTTTTCAGTGACCATCCAGTGGGTCTGGGAATCAGTTCAACACTGAATATTAAAGGACCAGTGTGTAGGATTTAGGGGAATTTATTCGCAGAAATGCAATATAACATTCATAACTATGTTTTCATTAGCGTATAATTACCTGAAACTATCATTGTGTTTTTGTTATCTTAGTTTGAGCCTTTCATATCTTCACTGCAATGTTTTTACATCAGTCCAGAACGTACGAACCAAACACTGGCTGTAGAGAGGGCCTTTCATGCTTTTACGTTACCTGAAGGCCACTGTAGTTCTGTGACGTGCTTGGAACTGTAGGAGTGAGCGGAGGGGTATGAAGTTGGTTGCAATCTGCTACCTCACCACTTGATGTCACTAAATGCAACACACTGCTCCTTTAAGGGGAGACTATTTCATTTATTTAAGCTTTTGGAGGCATTTAATGTCTGTTCATTACAAGTTTTAATATATAGTATCTTATACTGCCCGATCACACACTTGAGTCCCTGTGGGAAGTAGAGAAGTGCACTTCGCATGCAATATATGCTGCAGAATGGAATTTCTCTAGTGGGTACGTCTTAAGATGCTTTATATTAAAACAGGCTTTAAAATAAATAGCCACTGATAGCAAACTGGTCATGTTTTACAGTGACATCTGCTTCTTGACTCATCCTATCTCCTCTCTTGCTTCCTCTCCTCCAGGTGAACTGTGCCCTGTGAATGGCCGTAGCCCTGGCTCTGTGTCAACACAACACAGTTCTCCACGTAGCGATGCAGCCTCAGCTTCGGGCCCTCCGGCGGTCGTCGTCCCGGCTGCCACCTCTCCTCCAGAGGGATCCGCCCTGCAAACCAGTGATGTGGTTATTCACCGCAAGGACAATGAGGGCTTCGGCTTTGTCATCATCAGCTCCCTGAACAGACCGGAGAACGCATCCGTCATCAGTGAGTTTTTGCTGTCTGGGGCCCTAAAGGTTGTTACTGAACGCGAATGGTGATTAAATATAACTTGATGACCAAGGATCCTAAGGGTGGTGACTGTCCTAGAGGGATTGTTCATGGGGTTTTGCTACTATTTCAATTTAAGTAACATTTAAATTGTAATAATTTTTCATGTATTTAAAATATGTTAAATGTATTTATAAGATATGAGATTTGTAATACACAATGTGTGTTTGCACTGCATGCCCACTCAAGAAACAGGGTCACAACGAAGTATAACTGAAATAGAAAGTTTTACTTTTTATATCTGATCTTAAATTGGTCTTAATTTCATGCCACAGTAGTGTTAAAAACTAGTCTTTGAAGGTCTTAGATTTGGCTTTGTTAAACATATGGTAGGAAGCTGGTATCTTATAACAGATGGTGGGATTCTTGAACCAGCATGGTCTGACTGCACATTGAAGAATTTGATATGAATATATCCTGCTCTAAGTTTCGGCCTACACCTGAATATGGAATATGCATACCCCAAAAGTGGTTCTAGTATACAGTAGTTATTATAATATCAAACATTAGTTCAGGATGTAACGGTGGATGTTCAACAGTCCCCCAGGATTTTCTCTGCTTGGGGGTCCAGTAATGTTTTGGATTGAAGTGGAGATTGCAGGTTTCTGTATTTTTCTATCTGTGTGAAAAGAGTTGATAAAAGCCAAAACCTGTTTTGTTAAATATGTTATTGTCATAAAATAGTGATAACGAACGATTTTTTGAATTATATTTCTTAGCAGGTTTGAACAATGTCAGTGTTTCTGTGTAGTGGCAGTGCTTTATAAAGAATAAGAATATTGTAACTGTTTGAAACTGTCTCATGACAGTTGAGGCTCATGTTTTAATGCAAAAGTGAGTTTCATCAGTGGTGTAATAACATCTTTCTTCAAAATTGTCGTTGACAACCACCTTGTTATTGCCTGTTTCCAGCTGTGCCCCATAAAATAGGACGTATCATCGAGGGCAGCCCTGCGGACCGATGTGGGAAGCTGAAGGTGGGAGACCGGATCCTGGCTGTGAATGGACAATCCATCATCAGCATGCCGCACGCAGATATTGTCAAGCTCATTAAAGATGCTGGGCTAACAGTCACACTGCACATCATACCAGAGGAGGGTAAGTGATTGTGTGTGACATGAAAAGAAATTATCTTCACTTTCATGTGGCAGCATGTTTAGATTTCCCCTGATAGAAAAGAAACCGCTGAAGTCCGTCTGCCGTGTCTTTTATGAATATATTTCGTGATACTTGCATCAGTATTCTGAAGTAATAAGGCACTTTCACATAAAGGAGCAAACGGTTAGGGAGAGGGGTGTTCCACAACTGTCTTGGTTATCGTGAACTATGGCCTTGTCTTATGACATTGAGACATTTTAGAGCCTTACCTTTTTGAGCAGTATAACAAAGCTAAAGTTTGCAATGCCCCTTCAGGTTGTACAGCAGATAAATCAGGTTTCAGAACATTCGATAACAACACTGTAGTCGTCTGCATTCTGTGCATGTTTCCTTTGTCTGTTTGTTCCAAATCCTTCTCTTCAGAAGGATTTTAACAGGTGAAATCTTGTCTCACCTTCTGTCCATCGCAGGATCCCACTCTGGCCCCAGCTCAGAGAAGCAGAGCCCCATGATCCAGAAACACAGCCCCCAGACCCAGCCCAGCCCTGTAGCCCAGCCAGGCCAAGGAGGCACCCAGCCCAGCCAAACGGCCACTCAGACAGGTCAAATACCTGTCCTGCCTGGCCAGACACCAGCACAGACGAGCCAAACAGTAACTGGCCCTTCTGCACCAGCTGGAACCCAGCAGAGCCCGGTCACCCAGCCCTCAGGCCCCCCTCCACAGCTCTACCTCCATGACGGCAGGTAGGACGGCGCTAAGAATGATGCTCTTGTGTGTACTCAGCAGGAGCATTTTGTAAGATTCCTTAAGAGTGTCTTGGTGACTGCGAGACAATTGACAGGAAGAAGGAGCAAGGTGTTTTCAAAGGTGACAGATCTCAAACTGTGTATATAAATGAGTGTGTGCCATGCTCTCCTTGCATGCCAGTAAGTTCAGAAGAAAACCTGACTGAAGACAACTTTTGTCCCAGTCAGACTCTCAGTCTCAGGTTGGTTTCTACTTTGTTGCGTAACACCACTTAGCTCCTACAGTGTCAGTGAATAATTTACTTCAAGGTATCTCTTCTATAATGCAGGAACTTGGTGTTCAGGCCCTCTTCCATGTTAAAACTATGAAAGTGTGAGTGCGTGTATGGATAGGTTCGTGTGCGTGCATGTGAGTCTCAGATCAGTAGTAGCACTCCCAGAGCTGTGGATTGATGCCCATTCTACATGTGGGAGCTTGATAAAAGTTTCAAGACAGAGAGTGATATTTCCATCCTTTTATTTGGCGAGCTTCCTTAGCTGCACACGCTCAATGTTACTTTACAGAATTCCACACGGTTAGGGATACGTACTACTCTCACAAGAGAAGACACATTTGCACATATGAGGTTGTGTGGACACCTCCTTTTTTGATGCTTCTTCAAAGAAATGCTCTAATTGTTTTGAAGAAACAATGAGCACACACTTCTCCTCTGATTCTGTTGCTCTCTCTCTCTCTCTCTCTCTCTCTCTCTCCTCACAGGTCAGAGGTTAAAGCCAGGCAGGATGTCAAACCTGACTACCGGCATCCTCCATTCACTGATTACAGGCAACCTCCAGTAGACTATCGTCATCCTCCGGTTACTGATTATAGACAGCCGCCAACGCTGGACTACAGACACCCGCCTGGTCTGCTGGACTTCAGACAGCACCCTGCAGCGGCACAGTTTCCTCTGGGGATCCCTCCTGACTTCAGACCACAGGTACAGCTAGACCAAGACCCAACTGCTCAAGTTCAAACTTTGTTGAGCATTAAGTGCACATGTTTGCAGTGGGTTTGTTGCAAGTTGTCTAAATTCTTTCTGCAGGACTATGATTACTTTACGGTGGAGCTGGAGAAAAGTGCAAAGGGTTTTGGCTTCAGTATCCGCGGGGGCAGAGAGTACAAGATGGACCTATTTGTGTTGCGCCTTGCTGAAGATGGTCCTGCCATACGTAATGGAAGGATGAGGGTGAGATGGCATGGAGGAATTATATGTTGAAAAGCAGTTTGGGAGGTGATTGGAATTGCTGTCAGTGAGAACGGTTGTTTTGAATCCAGTCACAGACGTGCACTGAGAAGCAGCGAATTGCCAGTTTGTCCATCTTGACCATCTAAGATAATATAACACAACATGCTTGTGTGTGATATATTTATTTCACAAAATTTAAAGATGGTGTCAAATTGAATACAACACAGATTTTTGCCTTTTAAAAAAAAGACAACCCTGCTGTGTTCCTTCTGCAATATGCTTATTATCTTTCACTCTGTCTATTAATTCTAATCTTTATTTTACTGTCTGCCCCATCTTCTTCATGGGACAGGAATGGTGTATAGATTACGAAAGGGTGAACGAGAGTAGGTGCACGTGTACTCACAGACTAAGTGACCCTCTGCTCACCCTCAACCAGTCCTGTTGAGGTGTACTCCAACAAGGCACTTAATGGCACTTATTCCCCAGTTGCTCCAGTGGAGCGACCGACCAACAGAAGACTGTGTTGGCTGTGTTGAAAAGTCAACTTTCCGTGAATAAACAAGGCTGACAGAAATCGACCTTATGCTCTGTGCGTCTCCTCCAGGTAGGGGATCAGATCATAGAGATTAACGGGGACAGCACTCGGGACATGACTCACGCCCGCGCCATTGAACTCATCAAGGCGGGAGGCAGGCGGGTCAGGCTGCTGCTGAAGCGAGGCACAGGACAGGTGCCAGAATATGGTGGGTCTTCCTGGCACAAAGTAAAGTCTCTAAATGTCCAACTCTTTCTACTCTATCTCCTTAGTCTCTGACCTGATCTCTTTCTCACTTTCATACGCAAGATTCATTATTTGAGGTTCAACCTTACTGTTTTAACCAGAATGGCTTTTTCCTGCAAATGCTATATGTTTTACTCAAGAACACATTAACATGCATTAATATAAATCTGCATTTTACTCCTCGCTCCTCAGTCTTGTCTACTGTCGTCTGAAATTAAACTATTTAAACTATTTTGATCAAACAGTAGAATAGCAACCTTCTCTTTAGCCTTTGTGTGTTTTAACCCCTCTGCCTTAAGTCTAATGATTGGTATAGGCTTTTACTTGCCTTCCCTCAGGAATGGTACCTTCCAACCTCTCCATGTGCATGAAAGGTGACACACTAAGCTCCCCCTATTTCTTCCTAATGGGCCACTCTAAAGACACGGTTTGTGAAAAACTGCATGTCTCTCTCTCTCGCCATACTGATTAATCTGTGTGCAGTGTAGCTTTGCTCTCGGCATGCATGCTCATGAGTGTATACATGGGAAAATAGCAGCCGCGTGTGTGTGTATCTTTGTGTGTGTGTTTGTGTGCGCGAGTGCTTCTGCCTGTTGTAGTAAGACAGCAATAGGGTTTGAAGTGACCCTCCAGATGAAATTGTATCATCCTGAAGAGGGCTGTGAAGTAGACTGTGTGAAATCAATCTGCTCAGAATCAGTCTGTCACACAACTACCAATGGTAATTGTTTTCAAGCACTGAATGAATATTGTCCCACGTCATGTAGATTAGCCTACACGTCAGGTGTGTGCTGCTCACACACATTTGCATGCAAATTTGCCTGATATTATATTAGGATGTGGTGTTTATTTGTATTATTGTGGACGTCTTTCTTTCTCTCTGCCTTTTTTCTCTCCTCAATCTCTGTGTGCATGTGCATGCTGCTTCGTGCCACTCTGCTTTTATCTCAGGCCACCTGAGCATGTTTTCTTCTTCCCCGGCAGACTGTGCCGGCCCCTGGGATTCCCTTTCTACAGCCCACTCTGCCCTGCAGGAAGTGACCCTTGAACCCTACCCGAATCCATTGCTCTCATTCCATCCAGCCTCAGCCCCAGACACCCCTCATCCGCTCCCTCTAGAGGCCACAGTGTGCATGGCAGACAAAGCTCCACAGCTGACAGACCACAGCTCCATGAGAGGGGCTACAGGTGGCGGGTCCACCCAGCAGAAGTGCATCATCAGGGGGCAGGGACCTGGAGAGGTGGACTGTGGACCAGGCGAGAGAAAGCCTCGTGCTTTGCCTCCCAAAGCTGTCCTGGGGAGGTCCGTTGAAAGAAGAGAGAGGCAGCGGGAGACTTGCTCCCCCTGCTGTGAGAGAAAGGGCCTGCACACACAGGCGATGAGCACTGTCTGGCCCTGGGACCCTTATGTTAGTGTGAATTTCAATGGAGCCTCTCTAGGCAGTGGAGATGGACATGTCAGCCTCCAGGAGAGGCTGGTGTCCAGAGGTCTGTTCCCCAGAGAAGATGAGAGGGCCAGTGGCCACAGTGGGCTCTGCTGCCAGTCTAAAACCATGGAAGATCCTCCTGCTAGGAGCGCAGCGGCCTCCCCCGGGCCCTGGAACGTCCCTGGGTCTGACAAACTGCCTGGCACCCTGAGGTCCTGGACCTCCACAGTAAGCAGGTAGAATGGATCTTGCTGGTTTGGACTGGATCACACTGTCTGGCTCCTCGTTCAGTTCACCACCGGATGTCTGAGAGAAGCAGTAAATTTCCCTCACCCTCTCTTGCAGTCCTGTTTTCTTCTCCAGCCACTTCTAAAATCATATTTTATGTTTCATTTGTTTTTACGAGATAAATATTACACCCACCACCTTAAAAACAGAGGAACTTCACAGCTATTGTAACATACAGTATAAAAGTGATGGAGACACCTGGATTTGTTATCACAGATGGAGCAACAATGTGTGATTCTGAGTGGAGCTGTGCTTTTGACGTGTACCTTTAACTGCCCGACTGTATCTTGCTCAGATTGGTTAGTGCAACTTAACCTCAGATGGAACAAGGTTCCTCGCAGGAGAGAGACATATGTACATCCAAGAGATTTACTTTTGCTCCATTTTCTCTAAGCAGTGGGAAGAATGAGACTACAAATCTGTCAGAGGGGGAGGCAGTGACACGGACACTCCTGGAGGACATGGCACTGATCCAAGTGACAGCCTGGTTAACCCGACATATGTTAGATCTCACATGCCTACCAATATATCATATACTGTAAATGTAAAGATGTGAAAAATATGTACATTTGGTGTTTTTGAGGCAGTGTTGTAGTTAGATACATTGTAAATAAAAGAAAAACACCAGAACAGTATTTTAGGATCACTATTTCCATGGCCTCGTCTACGGAAAGTATTCAGACCCCTTTCAATTTTTCACTCTGTTTCATTGCAGCCATTTGCTAAAATCAAAAAAGTTCATTTTATTTCTCATTAATGTACACTCAGCACCCCATCTTGACAGAAAAAA